TCTATGATCTTACTAATTTCAAATCCCATCTGCTAATGAAATCTACCCTCAGTTAAAAATGGAAAAAGTTTGTAAAAACTAATCATTTTTTTTTTCAATAACGCAAACGTTGAACCTGTCGGAGAAAACAACTTTAGAAAAATTAATTTACATACTTCCTGTTCTCCCCCTTCCCCTCCCCCTCCTCCCTTCTTTTTTGTAATTAATAATATGTTTTTTTTTTTTCCAAAAACACACTTTAACTGCTCTATATGATACTAGAAAAAATTAGTAATAATTTCCCCTTTGTTAATTTAATGGCTTCCACGATCAATCATTTCCTTGTACTGATTAAGCGATTCCTGCCTCTGTAACCTCATCTCCTCGTTAAACTTCTTTATAAATGCCTCCACTCGCCGATTCAACTCGTCCTGACTCAGCGACGGTTCCTTTCTCAGCTTCAGTACTGAAGCTGGGGAGGAGCTCCCTTGCGCCGGTGACAGCTGGAAGTTGGTCCGGTCCTTGAACGTTTCCAATTTCTTCACCACCGGCGACGGCTCAGCCAGCGGATCCACGTTCACCTGATTCTCCCATGTTTCCTTGAACGTCTCTGATTTCTTCAGGTGCCTCGACAACGGCATTGCCTTCTTCTCCGTAATCATTTTCCACGTGTTCTCCATCGTCTCGTGCCGTTTCGGCTTCGCGACTCCCAGCGATCGAAAGCCTAATTAACAATAAATGGAATTCATATACCAAAAGAATTACTAACGAAATTACCATTTTGTCAATCTTGATTCCGTAATTTATAGGTGCAGGGAAAGGATATTTTAGACTTTTGAGCAGTGCGTCAAGCAGACGCTACTGCTGTGTGTTTTTGAGTTAAGAAAAAGACGTTTCTTCTGAAAAATACAAAAATCAAAACCCCCGCCGGAGAAGTCTCACCGACTCTTACCGGAAAGCTTGTTGAGTCTTTTTTTAATTTGAAATTCGAAACTTAGAAATGAGAGGAAATTAAGATCTAGTCATTACCATATTATTTCTAAAAATAATATTAGAGAGAAAAGATTAATACCTTCTGTACTGGCTTTATTGACAAGTTTCCGGTGACCGAACCTGGCAGAAACCAGAGGTTTCTCAGCCGGTGAGAGAATCTCCATTGGAATCTCCGACGAATCCATCCTCCTCAGCGGATTCCACTCGGATTTGGAGGTCACCAAGTCATCTCCATTAAGATCTTCAACCACCACATTCTTATCCTCCAAAAAATCACCAGCCTCCACCGCTTCTCTCTGCTTCTGCTCAAACACCACAACGCTCGGCTCCACCACACCGAAATCCGATCTACTACTCTTCACCTTGTACTCTTAACGCCGGATTCGGATCCGCCGGAATCTTCGGTACAGGCATCTGCTGATGATCCGCCTTCTCATTGTCGCCATCTCTGCGGTGGAACCGCGAGGACGCCACGATGGTGAGGATGATACCGTTTATTATAACATACAGAAACAGCGGACGGAGCCAGGAAGC